ACCATTTTTAAAAGTTCTAAGTGACTATTTCAGAGTTATGTTTGATCTCAGTGGAATGGGTTGGACTTATTTATTGCACATTTTAAGATCTAAGATTGATTTATTTAAACATTTAAGTATAGAAATTTTCTAACATTCACAAAAATAAAACTTATAATGAATCCCCAGGTACTTATCATCCAGCTGTCACCTTAAATGGCATTCACATTAATATAGAAAATTAAATGATCTTTGAGAAGGTATGGAACTAACTTGTCTTGGTTCACTAATGAATAAAAGCTAAAGGTTCTGATTTAATAATAACTTAATCTGAATTCCTTCAATCATTATTTTATTCATTGATTCATGCAACAAAATTTATTGAAGGTCTACTTTGTTTATTAGTGCCTAATGGCTAAGAGCCTTAGCTGGGTGCAAATCTTGGCTCTGCGACTTACTGGCTGTGTGGCCTAAGGCTAATCGAAATATCCTAGCTTCCGTTTCCACATCAACAAAATTGAGCTGATGCTAGTATCTACCTCATAAGCTTGTTATGAGGCTCAGATGAGGTACACTGGCTTGCTCAATAAATGTCAGCTACTGTTACTCACCTCACCTTTGTCATCCAGTTTAAAATCGCATATTAGAGCCAGGAAAGATCTTCTAGATTATCTAGTTTGATAAGCCCAGAGAGGTTTAGTGAATTGTCCAGTATCACACATCTGTTAGTGGCAAAGCCACACCAAAGCTCAGGTCTCACAGCTGTAAATGTTCTTCTTACTGAATGGCTGTTCTTTTGGTTTATCTGACCTCTGCCCTCTTCTTTAAACCCTAGTCCTTCTAAATTGACAGACCTGACCTACATGTTTTCCAGCTCTCTGCGTTTTCAATGCATGGACATATAAATGTATGTGAGGCTTTCTGCACATGTCAGACCTGAACATGTCCTTGGACACTCTTTTCTTAAGATTCCAAGGAAGACTTTTTAGGGAAGGTGAGCAGGCTGTCTCTCTGTGTTGTAATCACAAAGATGTTTTTATCACCCTCTTGTATCACAGCCCAGGAGTTAAAGTCACTGTTTGAAAAAAAGTCACTCAAAGAGAAACCTCCAAATTCTGGAAAGCAGTCAATATTATCTGTACGCCTGGAGCAGTGCCCTCTGCAGCTGAATAACCCCTTTAATGAGTATTCCAAATTTGATGGCAAGGTAAGTAAACCTGAAACTTTAATGGAATTGTTGTTGGTAGTATTATTTATTAGATTTAGGGTTTCAAAAGATACTCATTAAATATAGAATATCACTCACATTTCCTAAGACTGAGGATGTAAAGAGGTCTGGATTGGGGCTTAATGTTGTTTCCACAGTAATGTGTTTGGGAGGATTAAGACAAAAACAGCCCTGAGATGTGTGTGTGTATGCTCTTCTGTTTTATCTCCTAAGTGTACTTGAGGGTTCGGGTTAGTTGGGTTATGATGAATCAAGGTCTAACTGTTGGGAAAACCTTGAAAGTGGTTCTAGGAGACAGTTTGCATTGTCTTGTCTAAGTCTGTATTATAACTCCAGAAATTGTGGAGGTTAGAGCTTCATTTCAGAATTCTAGGCTTTGCATGTCAGTATTTTTTTTTATAGCAGATCTTGTTTGACACTTGCTATTCAGAATGACTTAATTTTTTCCTATTTGTTGTAACGATTTGCAGTTGTAAGATTAAAGTGTGTATTTCCTTTTAAGGAAAATGGCCACAAGTTTAGGTGCGGCCTCTTCCCTCATTCCCTGCCATTCTGTGTCTCTGTGCTGCACTGAGCCAGGCTTCTTTCAGGAGACAGTAGCAGTTGATTTTTCTATTTATTGCCATTATGTTTGTTATCTGGCAGTGGTGTGAGGGTGCTGAGGGTGCTTAATGCCTGGAGGGGTTGTGTGCAATTTGTCTTATTTCAACACCATCGCAATTAATAAATATACAGTTCTTTACTTATGCTTGCATTTTTCATATTCGAGTTCTGGTTATGTGCTGGTTCTGTCGGTTGTCATATGTGAGCAAGGAGATGTTTTCTCTTTGAAACACTTACCTCTTACAGTTCAGCGTGTTTCCATATACGGCCATTGGCACATGAGGTTATTGATGTTAGCCAGGAAGGAGAACAAGACTAGAAGCAAAATGCATAAATAACACAAAGATCCTAATACACTAGGGAGTTTCCTCCAAAAAAATGCCTGAAATCACTTCTAGTAAATGAGAGATGTATCCACGTAAAGCTTCTCTTTAGCCTCCCTCTGCCACCTTCCCCTGTTTCTTCTTGTGGATTGTAGCAAAGAGAAGAAAGGTCCCCCCTAGGGGACAGGAACGTTAGCCTCTGGAAACTGGTGAGTTGGACTGTAGGGGATTTTTTCTTGAATACTACAATTGATTCATTTAGATATGTGAGAAGTTATTACTGGGATTAGGTGACATGGCTGGAATTTATTTGCTTCTATTGCCTATCATCTCATTGTTTGAGAATGTAATTAATTGCTGGAGTAATTAAAATGATAATGCTTTGATGCCAACAAAATAGCACAGATCTTTTAAAATACTACATTCTAGGATTCTCATTATACCATTAGATTCTATTATAAGTACTTAGGTTTGGACTTGTTAGAAGGTTGTGAACTCTGCTTGTTATATATACCTAAATTCTGAAGTGCCAGGGAGAAATTAGAAAAATAAAGTAAAATCAGCCATTTCCTCAGTCACAAAGGAATTATTTTTGCTAGATGTGTGTTTACACTTAACAGCTCTCGGTGCTTTTGTCATATCAAGCCTATTTGTAATCAGCAAAGGATGTGAGCATGGCCCAGTCATCATTGCACACTGATTAAGAAAGATTTATATATCGATAAGTCTATCTTGTGATGCAATGCCATTTTTTTTATTATCCTACATATTACAATTGCTAAAACACAATTAAACCCTTGTTCTCATCTATTATTTAATATTGATGCGTTTGGCAGATATGTAATGAAAGTGGCTAATATTTGAAGGATATTGTACTGTACATATTAAATTAGTCTTTCTTTATCTTTGTGAAATGCATCAATATGATATTCAATGACATCTCAATGATTAATAGAGAATTATACTTGAGTCAAGCCTTTTTGTAACCTAGAAATTAAAATGACTATTCACATAACACCTCAAAATGATCAAATTAGCATTTTGTGATTGCATAATAATGGGATTGTAGTAGTTATAACAGCACCATGGCTGCCTCTGGAGTTAAGATCATGTCAACCCCTTGATAATAAAGCCTTTTCTGTGCGAGTCGACTTTAATAATTTCCAGATTGATTCTTCCCATAAATCATTTGACGCTCAGCACTAAATTTTTGTTACTGTTGTAACTTAAAATTATTTTATTTTTATTCAGCTCATATTTAAGAAGTGAAATGAGTGTCCTGTTTTAATGATTCACCATCTTGTCATTGAACTTCCTGCTTTTTGCTTCAAATATAAGGGGTTTTGATGTATTTTGATAGTCCTTTTTTTTTGGTAGAGGTTTGTTAAAGCCACTAAAATAAGTGCAGTTTTTTCCCTACAAATATTCACAATGCTTTTCTTGGGAATAACGCTTGCCTTATTTACATAATTAACTGAGTTGCTTAGGTCTCTTGGGCAAATGGTACATAATTGGGGAGAGAAGGGGACAGGGAAGAGTTTGGGGTCTAATTAAATATGCTAAAAAACTACTTAATTATGTATTTCCTCAAGAGACTAACTGCTGTGAAATCCTCTTTAAGATTAAACTAGTGTTGGATTTGAAAAACGGATTTTGGTTTTGGTATGGCATTACAGTTACAGTGTAGTTAAGCAGTCATCTTTAACGGTTTGTGCAAACTGGATTGTTGCTGGTTTTTGTGATTCTAAGGGTGAGCATCTCTCAGCTCTTGTGTTGAATTAAAGCAAACACTTTCAGACAGTTTTTTGGTTCCTGTATCTGGTTAATAATTTAAGTTTTAAAATTGTGGTTGGTTAATAATTTCTTGAAGGCATACAATTGGAAAGGAAAGGCTGCACTTAGGCCCATGCTTTGTTGTAATTTTGATAGTTTTTTGATTAGGTTCATTACTATGTTTATTTTTTTTTTTTGGCAAATTGGCGATGCTATCTGTGATATGTTTTAGATTCATAGGTTATTAATAACTCTGTTTACTGATCATTTGAAAAAAGACCTAGGCAGATTGCTAGTGGGTTTAGGAGATGCTTAGCCTGACAAGGCAAAACTAGGCTCAGCCATCCGCCTGCATACTTTGGGCTTGTTAAAAACAGGACCCCTGGGGGGTGTGTATATATACACAAGTGGTAGAGCGCATGCCTAGCTTGCACAAGGCTCTGGGTTCAGTTCCCAGTACCTTCTCTAAAAATAAATGCATGAATAAGCCTAGTTACCTCCCCCCTCAAAAAAATAAGTAAATAAAAAATAAATTAAAAAAATAAAACAGGACCCCCGAATAGCTTCATTAACAGAACAAAACCTCTGTTTTACAGGTGAGACAATCAGAAAACTTCTGGTGCCAGTCCTTCTGATCTCATTTATGTGGGAAATGTTGAATGTGGCAAGGAGTTGCTTTGAGGCGATAAGGGAATGATAGGCAGTAAACATTTAGCACTGATTTAAGTGCCTTTGAATACATGGATTTCTGCCCTGTCTCACCACCTTTTTCAAATGAGATTTTGTTTTAAAAAATGTCTAGTCCTTTCTATTCCATACCTGTCTCTGACTTGAGAAGCTTTAGCTGGTGTGTCATCGCTATTTTGGTTAAACTGAGTTTGCAAATGTTATCATCATCAGTGGACCCTCAGAAGTTCAGATACCCATTTCCTGTCAGTACAGTTATTAATAAAGAAATGGTACTGATTATCAGTTGCGTCACCTCAGTCAGGTTTTTAACCTCTCCGAACCTTAGTTTACCTGTGAAAAGAAATCAAGAATTTGTTCCTCACAAAGCTGATGAGACCATCCAGTAGGATAAAGCACCTAGCACAATGAGAGGCAGTGTAATTTAGTCTGTAGGCAAATCTATTTTGTAGTAAGATCTGAGTTTGAATCCTAATTCCACCGCTTATGGTGTGACTTCAGGCTAGTTACTTAACCTCATGAACTCTCGTCCTCATATGTGAAATGAGATGATGATAGTATGTCTTTTGTCACGAGAATTAAGATGAGGCCTCGTGAGCCCAACATTTAGCAGAGGAAGCAGCCAGCAGATACCCGACTTCTGCCTCTTTCTCGGGTGCAGGCCAGTGATGCTGTCTCTCATATGTACGTCATCAGATTGTTGACCGCATCGAGTGAGAGGAAATGTGCTCTTAAAAACCAGGAGTTAAGAATAGCATCATTAAACGAGATGTGCAGCAGACTGGATGAAGGTGGTGTGCCTTTAGAAGTCCAAGGAGTCAGTCTAGTGGGATTTTGACCTTTAACTTTAAATGGAAAGATTAAGACAAGTAATTACTTCCCTTTTTTTTCTTCTGGCAATGGTTAGTTTTTAAACAACAGGTGAGAAGGTGGTTTGATATTAGAAATTGCTTGGCAGTTTACTTAAATGTTAGCTATCTTACTTATTTGACTTAGCTAAGTTATACTCTAAATTTAAGGAGAATATTCGCCTTGACAAGTGCTTAAAAGAGCAGAACCGGTTCTGGTTCATATAGACAACTGTGACTTTGATTGTGTTAACTTATAAGAAGGTAACCATTTCTCTGTTATAAACTGTTTTAACAAGGAAGCTGCAGAGAGCATGGGGGAAGGGATAATTCATGAGTGCTAATTGCTTGGCTGTTAATTTTCATAAGTGTTGATAGAAGCAGTTCCTTAAATTAAACTTTGTTTAAAATGTATCAGGGGAAATATTCCACAATGTCGAGCCTGAAGTGAAAATTAATATGAATGCTGTGGCAATTAACACATACTGGTTAATAGCTTTTAGCAGCATTTTGGGATGATAGTCCTTAAATACATTTTTGCATGCTGCTCTTGTTTCAGCATTGTTCCAGTCTATGTCTAGATAATTATGAACAAATGTTTTCTACAGTCATTGGCATTAAATAGCTCTCTTCAAAGAAACTCACTTAAAACTTTGCAGAAAAGCATTGAGCTACGGAGAAATGTTGGGAACTCAGAAAAGGTCAGCAAATGGAAATCGTGTAAAAGAAAATTGCCTTTATAGGA